CATGGTCCCATTGAGAATAAAAAATAAAAAATAAGGTGCAAGCAAGTTTTGTTGTGCTAGTGCCATTATTCTATTAAGGGATTATGTTGTTGAAGGTTTCTGATTGTTGATGACTTGCAGTCAATCCCAAGTATCCCTGGTATGATGATTTGCCATTTAGGCCTGATATTAAATGATATAACTATGCATAGTTCTAACCTCAGTCAAAAGTATTGATGATTGTCCAAATGTAGAACGTACAATAACTGAAATAAAGAATATTTTACTTCATCTTTTCATTTGAGCATTTGATTTTTTTAAATAAACTTATGCTTTCTATCTCAAATAAAAAGACAAAATAAATATGTTGACTGGAAGTTAGTAAGGAAAAATAAAAAAATAAAATAAAATATTTAATAAACTGGAGCTCCTCTGAGTAACTCTCTTATAATCACATTTAAACTGAATGAAATGGGAACAAAATGCAGAACAACAATTATAGTCTGACTGATTTAATTAGTTTGACTTTTTCAAAAACCTGAGCTTGCTTTGATGAAGAGTGAAACACAGCTGATCCCAGACTGCTGTCTCCATCCTCTCTGTTCCTCTGCTTGGTTTGGATGCTGAAGATGAACCCAAACATTGAAGAAACACTTAGTTTTTGGTTGAAAAACACTTGTTTTTGATTTTTCAGTTCGGTCCAAACAAAGCAACACAGATCTAGGACTATTAAAATCCGGTTTTAATTTAGCATTTTAATAATCAGACTTGTTAATCATTTAATAAGGCGGGCCTGTTGTCCAAGGGCGTAGGTTTGATTTTAACATTGGTAGGGACACTATTGGTCTTCATTTTCATTGGTCTGATGTCATTGGTCCTTTGCAAAAATATGCCTGCTCTTTTTTATTCCTAATGTGAGCATCAGGGTGCATTTGGTTTAAAGAGAACAGCAGCATTTCTTCCTACATTAATACAAATCTTATGAACACTACACAAACTAGAGGATTAGGGCCACTGGAAAAAAAAAAATGTTAACAGATTTTTTAATTTTATTTCAGTTTAACATAAGAAAAAAGTCAGAATTCCAAGATTGAAGTCAGAATTC